TGTGTGGGGGGGTGGAGGGGTGGTTGTGGGGGGGGTTTTGTTTTGGGGGGGGGGGGGGGGCTGCCTGTGGGCAAAGTGGGCCTTGGATATCAGCCCGATGCCTGCTGTGCTGCGTGAGTGGAGTTGATTCTGGTTCCTGTTCCGCTTCCAGGAGGTTCTGCTGTTGTCTTGACCTAGAGTCAGCCGCATTTTGGCATTTGAGCTGCTCTGCACTGTTCTTTAAAGACCTTCCTCTGAGGCAGGCAGCAGAGGAAGGGGATGTTTTACCACCACGTTGTCCTGCTGCAGTGCAGGGCAGGGTTTCATTGCTGTGCCCCTTCCTGAGGGCTAACAGCCCTGTGGCGGACCCGTGGGCACCGTGGGGGTCTACGGGAAATGTGCTGCTTTGTAGCATCAGCTCAGCCACTCCGCAACACAGGGGACAAAGGGATAATGGTTGCACTCTGGAAGTGGACCCAGTGGCAGCAATTTCTGAATCGGAAGGCTGCTTTATCTGTCAGCAGAGGGTTTACCCTGTTGGTTTTGATGGCGTGCTGCTCCACTTGGCTCTCTCGTCTTCCCCCAGGTGTACAAGTGTGTGGTGAAGAGCTGCGCTCAGACCTTCCAGAAGCTGGAGTCCTTCCTCGAGCACATCAAGAGCCACCAGGAGGAGCTGAGTTATCGCTGCCACCTCTGCAGCAAGGACTTCCCCTCCCTGTATGAGCTGGGTGTCCACCAGTACTCCCACAGCCTGCTGCCCCAGCACAGCCCCAAGAAGGATGTGGCCGTGTACAAGTACAGTAGCAATCGGTGCTTGCAAGGCTTGTAGGAGTGTGTGCGTGCTGAGTGTGTTTGGCTGAGAGCTGCTGGGACACTAGAGGGGTGAGGGGGCTGGCTGCTCAGCAGCTCAGTTCCCTTGGGCACCCGAGTGGCAACAGGAGGGCGCAGGCTGCTGCTTTGTATGCAGAACCTGGGCTTGAGGTTTAGGATGCCGTGAGAGCGTGACCCATTATAGTTCACTCTCAGCTTCTGGAGTGTGAGCCAGTTTGAGGTGCTAACAGTCTCCTGAAGAGAGCAAAAGCAAAAGGTGATCTCCATGTGAGTGGCAGACAGGATAGAGAGTGATGGGCTGAAATTCCAGCAAGGAATCTTTTGGAAAGACAGTGAAACGCTGGGATGGGTTACATGGGAAAATCCAGTCACTGCGAGTCCTCTATCAGGCGCCAAGTGAGGTGGGCACGGCTGGGCGAGAGACCTGGTTGGAGCCCCTTCCCAGCCTGTCTTCTGTGATTCTCTAGTCGCCTGCAGCGAAGGAAGTGAGGGCTGTAGAAGCTGTGCCCAGGTAAAAGACTTATTTCTCCTTTTCTCTTGTTGCAAAGGGGACCATTGCCTGGAAAAGCCTTTCTCTTAATGTAGAGAGGAAGTATGGAATGTTTCGTGAAAAGCACTCAGGAACAGTTGAAATGCACGTAGGGACATACAGGAAGAGTAAGAAGTCCAGCGGATACTGGAAGTCACTTAGGAGCCTCGTGAAATAAGTATCTGCTACTTGCTGGTTGGGCTATAATGTCTAGTTATCCTTGTGCTGTTATCCTACAGCTTGCTAGCAGCAATCGTCTTTGAGATCAGAACGCTGCTTATGTTTGAGGAGGTTTTAGTCTGATCTCCAAACGAAGAGAGTTTTCACAACAGATACACTGTGTGAGCACCTGTGTTTGTATTCATTGTTGATAATTCTTGTACCCATTGCCCATGATCAGTCAGGTGTGGCAGAGGTCTCAGAAATACTTCCAAGATTTGTGAGAATAAGCAGACAGGTACAGGACAGCCCAGGTGGTGCAGGAGAGGTGGCAATGTCAGCTCAAACTTGGTTAGACACCAGAAACTCTACGTGGGAGAATGTCACCTTGCAGCTGCCCCAGCCACGGGTAACACTTCCGTTGCACTGTGCAGTCACCCAAGAACTTTTTCACTGGGAGCAGTTGTCTTCTGGCAATGACGATGGGAAGAGATGTTTTAAGTAAGGTGAAGTCTTTATTTAAGGCTTGTCTCCACGAGGAAAATGTGGAACATGTGCTTGGGTACTTGGATGCTCTCATGCAAATAGTGTAGGGAGTTAGTATAGCAGAGGACCAGCAATTGTAAGGACTAGCTTCTCCACCCAGTTTTCCTGCATCTTCCCCTTATGAAGGAAGCTAAGTGTGAGTGTGATCTGGCCATGTGGGTTGCTGAGGTTTCAGAACGTCTCGAAGTTGGTATCACCTGTACCGAACCATCCCTGCCAAAAATCAACCTGGAAGGTGGCTGGTGAGGGGGTGCGTCCAGGCCAGCGTGGGGTTTGCCGGCGGTATGGGGTTTGCTGGCGGTAGCCTTGTTCACAGGCTCTGTCCTTTCTCTCCGCATTCAGATGTGTGAAGTGTGTAAATAAGTACTCCACCCCGGAAGCCCTGGAGCACCATCTGCAGACAGCAACGCACAACTTTCCTTGCCCTCATTGCCAGAAGGTGGGTGGGTGACCGCTGCCAGAGCCGATCCTGGCCATGCAGTTAGGACTCTGAGGGGGATGGGAACCCTTGACTCCCTTTCCTCTCCTTTCCTACCTCAGTACGGACTGGCAGGCTCGTGAGGTGCTTTTCAGAGAGAGAGGCGATTGCATCCTGGCCTCCAGCTCTCTTGCCTCTCTCGTGCAGAGTACGTTCCTCCCCACAGTGCTGGCTTTTCTCCCGGGCCCCGTTTGATGCACAGAATTTGCGAGGGGATGTTTCTCCCTGTCCGCCCTCTGCGCGCCCAACGTGTTGCGTTGGGCTCGTGCTGTGCAAAGAGCTGAGCTCCCTTACTCCCTTGGCACACTCAGTGCTGTGCTGGCTCGGGTCTTTGACAGCACGGGACTTCACACCCTGGGCTGCCAGCCTTATTTCTTAGAAGCGAGTGTGCCAGGAAAAGTGAGACAGGTTTTGGGGAAGTGTTAGGGTGGCATCGGTGCCCCATATCTCAAGGGCTTTGACCCAGCATGCCTGGCTACCTGAGGCTGGAAGGGTTGTGCCTGGGAAGCCCTGGGTCCTGGGAGAGCCTGGATGCCCACGTTGCTCTCCTCAACTCCTGCCGCAGTAGAAGTCTCTGGGTCTCCCCATGTTCCCCTCTTATGGATGAATGCTCTGTGTCCTTGGAAAAGAGAAATCTGTCTGAGTGATGTGACTGGGACTGGAACGATGCCCGGGTAGGTTTTGGCTGGAAATACTCTCTTCAGCATGGCCCCCGAGGGGGTCTGAGGGGCAGAATTTTGTGGGATTTGAATTCTAATAAATTATTTTTTGAAATCCAGACTAAAATTTGGACCCTTGCTCCTCTGTTTATAGCCAAGGAAATGAAAATCCTGCAGTGGGGGCAGGGACAATCTCAAAGGAGTGACCACTCTGTACTGAGGTAGCTCAGGAAGGGGAAACGCACTCCTGCCATGGTTAGTAACCCATCTTTCTTTACCTGTCTTTCCTCCACTTCCCCCACCAGGTGACAGATGGCCTTTTGGGCCTGGGTGGGACTCTCAGCATGCAGCTGCAATAGGGCTTTGAGAGCCCATTATCTGCAGCAGCGTTTTTTACTTCTATTTGTATTCTTCCTAGTATTGCTGACTCCTGGAGATGTTGTGAGAGCACAGCCCTGGGTACCAGAGCTCCCGGCTCTCCGGTGCTCCCCTGATGTGTGCTTGCAGCGATCTCTTTAGGAATTCACTTAGCCTGGGTACTTTCAGTATCCCCGTTAGCCAAAGAAGCCATTTATAAGACCACGAATGAGTGTACACATGCATTGGGAGCCTTTGATAACAGATGATTGGGAAGCACAAAACAAATTCATCACTGTGGGAAGGTAGCAGCTACTGGGGCTCCTTGCCCAGCCTGCCCTACTGATGGCTCTGAGAGGGTGTCCATCTGGGGCGCTGGTCCTCAGTACTTCTATGGTGTTATAAAATTTAGCAGCGAGGTTTTGGCTTATGTGTTTCTTAAGGATAAGAAATGTTTTCTTTTCTTTTTTTTTTTAAAAAAGATTTCTTCAGTGCTTCCTTTCCAAGAAAGGAGTCACCACGGGCTTCATTTGCTTTCTATATAGGCTACGCCTCGTTTGCCCCTGTAGGCTCGGTGATATCCCTTGCATGCTGCTCGCTCTTAGTTTTATTCTTGTGTGTTAACAGGTGTTCCCCTGTGAGAGGTATCTGCGCCGACACATCCCCACGCACGGCGGGGGCAGCAAATTCAAGTGCCAGATCTGCAAGAAGTTCTTTCGCCGGGAGCACTACCTCAAGCTGCATGCCCACATCCACTCGGGTATGGGTGCTCCCGGAGCTGGAATGCCTTCCTGCTGGCAGCCCCCAGGAACAGACGTTTTGGGATCAGAGCTCAGTGATCAGGACCTGCCTCTTCCCAGCTCTCTGGTGATCCCATTTCAGCTGAGATGTAACCTTGGGCACCTTATCCAGATTGCAGATCAGCTTGGGGCTGTCAGGGCTTGTTATCCCAAGGACAGTGCCACAGAAGTGCAGCTGTACAGCTTCCAAGCTCGGCTCTGGGCTGGAAGCAGGTTGACTTTTGGGGATGATGCGCATTAGCGTAGTGGAGCCACCCAGGCTGGACCCAGAAATTCTGGGAGTGTAGTGCAGAGATGACACCTGGGTGGCTCTGGATAATTTGCTTTGGGCCCAAGAGGCTTTACCAGTTCCAGTACACTGCTGCTTTTGCTGGATCCAAACTGGCCTGTGCCTACTGCTCACAGTCTCCTTATCATGGTCCTTGCTGCACCCTGTAATGCCCTGGCTGTTTTCCTGAAAAACAGAATCAACTGTATGAGTCATCTATATTAAACATGTTTTTTGGGAAATACATGGTTTTGGATCAGCCTCGTGCCCAATACTGCACCAGTTAGGAGTAGGACACAGAGCTGGCATCCCTGCTGCCCAGGGTCGCAGAGCCGAAGGAAGCTGGCCCTGGAGAGGAGGAGTGGTGTGTGGTGGGCATTGTAGCCACCCATCCATTCACCCATCAGGCAGGGTAGGGAAACCTGAGAGATATTCTAGTGAAGCAGAGACTGGTTCTGCTGCCAGAGTGAATCCTGTACCTGCCGAGAGCAGCCCTGTGTCCCTGGTCTCTCCCTGACTCTTGGTCTCTTTCTTACGCAGGTGAGAAGCCCTTTAAGTGCTCGGTGTGTGATGCAGCCTTCAATCGGAAAGATAAACTCAAGCGGCACATGCTGATTCACGAGCCTTTCAAGAAGTATAAATGTCCCTTCTCGTACGTAGCGCGTCTCCAGCATGGTGCCACGTCTTAATGGGTCACGATGGGATTTGGGAGGGAAGGAATGTCTCTTGTAGTTCCCCTAGGGTAGATGTATGGCATTTGCCGATCCCCTGCTTCTTGCGGAGGCAGTAATGCTGGGTGCTGTTGAGCTGGGAATCAAGAAATGTCAGTTCCTGTTATTGACTTCCTGCAGGGCCACATCATTCATCTCAGTTCATCAACCCGTGGGAAATAATGCCTGCCTGCCTGGGAGGCTTTGGGGATTGCTCCTGGGGAGCACTGGGGAAAAGGAGGAGTATTATTTGAGCGCAAAGTGCAAGGTCGCCTGAATGATGTGATCTCCCCAACTGCCCTGTCTTAAAAAGCTCTTGGCAATGTGAGAGCTAATGCACAAGCCAAAGAGAGCCAGGTTTAGCAGGTGCATCCTCCCAGGTCTGTGGTATGGCCCAGGATCTTGGTGCATCAATCCCCGGTTGGTTCATGTTGCTCACTAGTGTTTATTGTTCTTACAGAAGCCACACAGGCTGCAATAAAGAGTTTAACAGGCCTGACAAGCTGAAGGCTCACATACTGTCCCATTCAGGTAAGTGCAGCTGGCTTCTGCCCTTGCTGCCAGTAGACGGGAATGAAGTTGTTGGGACTTGCTGGGACACTGGGGGAGCATGTTACAGGAGGAGTAATCTGGAGAAACAGGCGGTGGCAAATTGTGAAGGTGCTTCTGCTTTGTGACCCCCAGAAGCGCAAGATGTTCCCTTCAGATGCTTTCCCCGCGGTGTCCCTCCGCCTACCTCTCAGCTAGCACAGCTAGTGCATAGTTTTGTGGGAGAATTTTCCGTAGTTTATGGCACAGTGTTTCCTGTACGTAAACCTAAATTCTTAATATTGTTTATTAGCTTTAGATTTTTTTATCTCTGTTGTTGCAGGCCTGTTTATGTGAGCTTTTATTTTACAGCTGTGTCTAAGCTTTTGGCTCTTTCCTAAAGCAATATAAATCTGTAGGCAGGGCTTACTGGGCAAGACTCTGAGGCAGTGCTGGATTATTCAGCGTGTTCACTATCAAATGACTGCCCACAGTTCTCTGTCCTCTCCTCACTGATAATATCTTCCGTTCAAGGGAAGAACTCTTGGGATCCAACTCCCTTCTGTCTATGTTGCAGAAATGATGCTCCCACTCCTAATAAAGACAAACCATTTCTTCCTGGGCCCTAGGGAACTCTGTGGTTTTTGTCTGCTGGGGTAAAATTGAGAATCTTTTTTGTGCCTGTCACGTCCAAAACTCTGGGACGGGCAATCAGATGGGACTGTGCTGACAGTGCAGTGGCTGTTGTGTTTCAAACTCCAGTATGTTCCCATACTCGGGAGGAAAAAAAGTGAAGCATTTTTTTTTTCACTCTACCAAATACACTTGAAAAAAAAATCAGAGTTTAAGACTATGTTTCGCCTTTTCACCACAATCCCCTGACATATTTTTCTGGTAATATTTTAAAACTCTTATTTGAGGCAAGGACTAATGTTCTAACCCTTCCTAAACCCTGACATCAAGGTGTAGCAGCACCTACTTTTCTGATTGCAAATACGTCTGGCCCAATGTCGTCTTAGACCATGGC